TATATTCAGAGGACTAACTATTCTCTAACATAATATGGAGTTTTCCGTTATCTTTGAACAAGTAGACGAAATTGAAATGAATTTGAAAGTTAATAAACCACTTAGAAATAAAACATAATTTCTAAACTAAAATGAAATCAAAGTGATAGTAAATAGACTGAAAATTAAATTAAGCCAATATGAAACCGACATATCTGGAGAGAGTAATGTAAAGGTATATAAAATGGGTTAGTACTTTGGAATTGCGGGAATAAATCTCTAACTAAACCCATTTAGCAAGATTTAGATTCAAATGTCCAAAATTCATTAAAATCGACTAAACAGTTAAGTCAATTTTTAATTTCTTTAGTAAAACCAAAAAAATAAAGAAAGCATTAAGAAAGGCAAGAATATGGACCAGAGAAACCATTTCGTTTTTAGGGAGGAGGTTTAAGCAATCTTTGCTAAACGTTGAAAGTGCTACACCTACACTTAATTTTTTGCCCATCCCCACTTAATTTTTTCTTTATTTTCCTTTATTTTTTCCCATCCCCATATTTTTCTTTGTTTTTTTGGCCAACATTTTTTCTTTGTTGAAAAGAGAGAGACAGAGACAGAGACAGAGACAGAGAAAGATCTAAAGGAATCACCTTTGGACACCCCAAAAAAATTCAAAAATTGGAAATTGGGTACGAAAGAATTGTTTTTGAGTCAGATTGTATATTAAAAGTGTTGATAAAAAAAAGATTATATATTAAAAGTATACTTTAAATATTAAAATTATTAAAATATCTTTATTAAAATGTAGTTTAAACATTGAAAATACTAAAATACCTTTTAAAAAGAAAAAAGAAAAATTAAGATTGCTTAACATTAAAAATATCAATAAATCTAATAATAACTATTAAATATATGAAATATAATATAAAACTTAATTTTATCAAATTTATCATGTAATTATTATTAAATATTAGTTAAAAATACTCTTTTTTATATTCATTCACTCAAGAATCATAACTTGATAATTTATTGTTTGAAACAAAAAAGTTTAGTAATCATAGTACAGACTGAAAAATACGAAAGTCATGGAAATGGAGTCTCAGACGTGCCCCCCTTTATAAGTGTGCACTGTCTTTCACTTATGTTGCCACTCTTTCGAAGCCAGAAAGCGACAGATAGGAGAGGGATTCCGACCGTTACAAGTGATGAATGCAGCTATTACAATGCAACTCTCGGGGTTCTCGCACCGCCTGGCCCCTTCTACTACTCACCACCGGCCGTCTCTGGTTCTGGCGACCGCCATTGCCGGTAGAAGCTCGAGCTCGCTTCCTTGTGCCAGGAAATTCAAATGCATGTCTATTTCGAGCTCTGGCTCCAGCTCAAGTTTGAACACCGCTACAGGTAATCTTTTCTTTTTGTGGAATCTCTTGCTGTTCTGTTTGGCTGTTGAGACTTGAGAAACCCCGAGAAATCAGAAGAAAGTTGCTTTTTCAATGGTTCTTTTTCATGGAACATCAACTGTTTCTCAGTAACCAGAAGAAAGTTGCTCTAGTTTGAGGTAGATGTTGTTGTTTACTTGTTTTGGTTTGTTCTTTTACAGTAAATGATGAAACGAAGGCCATGGACGCTTCGAAAAATGGAAATTTAATTCCTCTGTACAGGTGCATATTCTCAGAACACCTTACACCAGTTCTTGCGTACCGCTGTTTGGTTAAAGAACATGATCGAGAGGCTCCAAGTTTTCTATTTGAGTCAATGGAGCCTGGTCTCCTGACTTCGACTGTGGTAAGGCCTTTTAGTCCTTTCTTGTTGCAGGTGTAAGGGTTGGAGTTTGATCCAATTGCCTTTTGGTATTTGGTTTTGGATTTCATTGTATTAGGGGCGTTACAGCGTGGTTGGGGCACAACCAACCATAGAAATTGTGGCAAAAGAAAACAAGGTTATAGTGATGGATCATGATCAAGGGAGCTTGACTGAGGAGTTTGTTGAAGATCCAATGGTGATTCCTAGAAGAATTTCAGAGAGCTGGAAACCCAAATTTATCCATGAGCTCCCAGATGCTTTTTGTGGTAAGAACATGTTATTGATCAATAATCATTGAATCCTATTTTGTTTGAGTTAATCATGACTTAACTCTGTTCATGTAATTTGAATTTTATCTATTTTTTATAGCAAGGACGTTCCAAGGAAAGTTATTTAGATTTGCTATGATTGAGAGTTGAGATGAAGCAAGGATATGCTGAAAAGTAGTTAGCTGTTCTTAGTTTTTCAATGGAACGTTAGTGGCCGTTAGCAAAATAAGGGGGAAGATGCATTGACCGTACACAAAAGGAAAGTTTGTTAATGTTGGCCGGCAATAAGATATCGTCAATCATGTTAGCTAACGACAAAATTTATGGTGCTAATGGCAAATTTTGGCAATTTGTTTGAAATACCTAAAGACAATTGAAAGGATTCAATCATATACTAATGCATGTATCTATCCTAGATTTTGGTCATGAAGTTGATCATTTTGGTCGTTCCAATGTATACATTCAGTATATAGTTAGTACATGTTTTTGTGGTTGTGGTCTGTAATATATCCTGCCTAGAAAGCTAGAGAGGTTTGAGAATTTTAGATAATTCATAACCCTTTTAATTATTGGACCAGAGATGAAGACTGCTATAGTACTTTTGAGTCATAGAGTATGGCCTATGGGGCTTGCTAAGTAAGATTCTACTGTTATCACAGGTTGTTTCATAATAATGTAGAAAAAATCTATTTTGGTTATGTTCTTCTTTGCATTCTTGGTTAGTCTTGTTTATCCCTGAATCTACTCTTAACAATAAATTATTGTGATAATTAGGTGGATGGGTAGGTTATTTCTCATATGATACAGTTCGATATGTGGAAAAGAAAAGGCTTCCGTTCTCCAAGGCACCAGCGGATGACAGGAACCTTGTAGACATTCATCTAGGCCTCTATAAGGATGTGATTGTGTTTGATCATGTGGAAAAGGTATTACATCAACAAATTATAGTCTTCTGTGGAATATAGATTTCATGTTACTGTTTTTGCACCAAGATTGTGTGGTTTGTGTCTTAGTATAATCTCTGTACTTCCAATTTCTAACAGCTTCAGTATTTGGGCATTATTGAATGTTTTGTCTATTTTTAGAGAGTTTATGTCATTCATTGGGTGAGGCTAGATCAATACTCCTCTGTTGAAATGGCTTATGATGAAGGAATGAAACACTTGGACAAACTGGTTGCAAAAGTACAGAATGTTGATGTGTGAGTGACATGATATGGCATTTTGTATTGCTGCACTGCTTCTGTATGTGTTAATTTCTACTCCTTTTTCTCTGACACAACTTTTGATTTTGTTCCTTGTTAGTCCTAAGCTATCCTCAGGTTCCGTAAATTTATATACTAGTCGGTTTGGTCCTTCTTTAAAGGATTCAAACATGACAAGTTCAGAATATAAGAAAGCTGTGCTACAAGCAAAAGAGCATATACTAGCAGGGGATATCTTCCAGATTGTGTTGAGTCAGCGTTTTGAACGTCGAACTTTTGCTGACCCCTTTGAAATATATAGGTCTTTGAGAATTGTGAACCCAAGTTCGTATATGGTTTACATGCAAGTAAGTTTTTCTTCTTTTTTAGGGTATCAATAATTTCACAACTGTGGATTTTTTCAGTTATCAGTAACTTAATTTGTTTATTCATCATTTATGTTCTTTCTCAGGCTAGAGGATGTATTTTGGTTGCCTCAAGTCCAGAGATCCTTACGCGAGTGAAGAAGGTAATTTGTTATACAAATCATGTTAGTGATTTTAAATTATTAGGCTAAGCCATTAGCTTGTTATTGGGTTGATGATCAATTTTTTACGTTGGTATGAATAGAACAAGATTGTGAATAGACCATTGGCTGGAACAGCCAGGAGAGGAAAGACAAGAGAGGAAGATGAACTGCTGGAAAAACTGCTACTCAGTGATGCAAAGCAATGTGCGGAACACATAATGCTTGTTGATTTGGGAAGAAATGATGTAGGAAAGGTTTGTCGAACTGACATTCTACTTTTTCTAAACAATAGCCAATTCTTTCCTGCTAAGGCTGTAAGAGAGTGAATGAATGATGGATTTAATTGTAAAAACTTTATTTTTGCAGGTATCCAAGTATGGTTCAGTAAAGGTGGAGAAGGTGATGAATGTTGAGCGATATTCCCATGTAATGCACCTCAGCTCCACGGTAAGAACTGACAATTCTGAGGATTCACTAGTCAACTTTTCCTTATTTTAGTTTCAGAAGTTGCACAATTCAAGGAAATTTGCTCTAGACATTCCATCTGTAATGCATTCTATGTTTTTTACCTTGATCATGCAGATTACAGGTGAGCTGCATGATCATCTCACTTCTTGGGATGTCCTTCGTGCTGCACTACCTGTTGGAACTGTTAGTGGAGCACCAAAGGTGCAGTACTTC